ACACACATCACAGTACAGACACACACATCACAGACACACATCACAGTAGAGACACATGCATCACAAACACACATCACTGCTGCTGACACCAGCACATCACAGCACAAACACACACACATCACAGCACAGTAGAGACACATCGCAGACACACATCACAGCACAGACACACGCATCACAGACACACAGCACTGCTGCTGACACCAGCACATCACAGTACAGACACACGCATCACAGACACACATCACAGCACAGACACACACATCCCAGACACATATCACAGTACAGACACACAACATCACAGCACAGACACACACATCACAGTACAGACACACACATCACTGTTGCTGACACTAGCACATCACAGAACAGGCACACACATCACAGCACAGACACACACGTCACAGCAAAGACACACAGTGACATCATAGACACACATCACAGCACAGAAACATATCACTTCTGCCAACACCAGCACATCACAGACACACACACATCACAGCACAGTACAGAAACACACACATCACAGTACAGACACACAGACACACACACATCACAGCACAGACACACAGACACACATCACAGAACAGACATACACATCACAGCACAAACACACACACACATCACAGTACAGACATACAAAAACATCACAGTACAGACAAACATATCAGAGCACAGAAGCAGGCACATTACTGAACAGATGCACACACATCGCATACACATCACAGGACAGACACACACTGTGATCACTCCATGACTGCACTACTATAATACTGACCCATTAGAAAATAGCATAAATGAACTAAACCTTAACATGACATCATATACAGGGCCTTTCATCTTACTTGGTCCCAGGTGTCCAGAAGCATGACATCATCCTCGCTGAGGTCATCCTGTGTGAACTGTGTCACCTCAGTGGCAATGAAGCGACCAGTCTTATTGGATAATTCAAAGAGGCGGGGCTGGTGATCTGGAACTTCCTGCTGTAGCCTGCCAATAAGAGAGGGAGTTGCAGTTTAAAGCTTTCCGATGACTTCACAAACTGTGGAGCAAATGCAGGGTAATTATCAATATTGACAGCTGTTACTGGCGTAATTCCAGGATTGACAACTTCCCCTGGGGTTATTCTCATGTTTTACAGCTGCCCCTTGGGGTAATTCCCATGATTGACAGCTGCCCTTGGGGTAGTTCCCATGATTGACAGCTGTCCCTGGGGTAAGTCTCATGATTGACGGCTGCCCCTGGGTTAATGCCCATGATTGACAGCTGCTCCTGGGGTAGTTCTCATGATGGACGGCTGGCCCTGGGGTAGTTCTCATGATTGACAGCTGCTCCTGGGGTAGTTCTCATGATGGATGGCTGGCCCTGGGGTAGTTCTCATGATTGACAGCTGGCCCTGAAGGAGGGGGTCTGACCTCTTGTCGTTGGCGTAGGGTGTCTTTCCACCCAGCTGCTCCCAGAACTCGGCAGGCTCCAAGCCCTCAGCCACAATCTCCTCGGACCCTTTACCAATCAGCACGCTCAGCTTCTTCGCCATCTCTCGCTCGTCCCCGCTGGAGCCCTGCAGCGCGAGACACAGCCCTGAGGCCTGGCTCCACACTCCCCTGCTTCCTCACAGGTGTGGGCAGGTCCCCCTCCCACACCCCACCTTCCAGCTTTCTCCTCCTCCAACAGGTCACTTCTTGTATTCTCCTTAACCTCTGCCTCCTCTCTGCTCCTGTCTCTACCCTTCACCTGCTGTCTGCCTCCTGTCTCTGCCCTTCACCTCCTCTCTGCTCCTGTCTCTCCCTTTCACCTCCTCTCTGCCTCGTCTCTACCCTTCACCTCCTCTCTGCTCCTATCTCTACCCTTCTGCTCCTATCTGCCTCATCTCTACCCTTCACCTCCTCTCTATCTCCTGTCTCTACCCTTCACCTCCTCTCTGCCTCGTCTCTACCCTTCACCTCCTCTCTAACTCCTGTCTCTATCCTTCACCTCCTCTCTGCTCCTGTCTCTACCCTTCACCTGCTGTCTGCCTCCTGTCTCTACTCTTCACCTCCTCTCTGCTCCTGTCTCTCCCCTTCACCTCCTATCTGCCTCGTCTCTACCCTTCACCTTTTCTCTATCTCCTGTCTCTACCCTTCACCTCCTCTTCGCCTCGTCTCTACCCTTCACCTCCTCTCTAACTCCTGTCTCTATTCTTCACCTCCTCTCTGCTCCTGTCTCTCCCCCTCACCTGGTGTCTGCCTCCTGCTGTCTGCCTCCTGTCTCTGCCCTTCACCTCCTCTCTGCCTCCTGTCTCTACCCTTCACCTCCTCTCTGCTCCTGTCTCTACCCTTCACCTCCTCTCTCCTTTACCTTTCCACACCACACGAAGTAGCCCGCCTGGTGCTGCAGCAGGAAGACATCGTTGGAGTTGAGGGAGGCGGCCAGTGCCGGCACCTCGATGGCCTTGGTGTTGGACGGCTCGGTGCCGCGGACCTGCAGCAGTCGGACGGGCGGCTCCGGGTCCGTAATGCCCCTCCGGGAGGTGCCGCCCTGGAGCAGAGGTCACGGGGGCAAAGGTGAACGCTGGCACACAATATCGAGTACTGCAGACTTGCCAAACCCCACATTCCTCCGCCATCAGATCCGTGATGCTGTGATCTCCTGCTTCCTTCACAAATCCGCTCACACGACAGTATGAATCATCCGAATAATATTTATACACAGCGGGCAGGAAAGCTGAAGCTCACCTCGAAGATGACCATCCTGCCCTTGAAGATGGACATGAAGTGGCGCGGCTCCTTGCCCATGGTGACGCGCACCTGGACCGGTTTCCCGCCGTACTTTTGGTCCAGACTGACGGCCTGGTAGGCCGAGGCGGCGATCTCGTCCTGGGAGGCGTGACGACCCTGAGTGGAGGTGAGAGGTCAAAGGTGCC